TGACAAAATAATAATTTATAAATTATCAAGGGTTCACGAGGGAGGGATGAGCAGGGAGGGAGGGGAAAAATGAGCTGATTCCAGGGGCTTAGGTGGAGAGCAAATGTTTCAAGAATGATGAGGGCAATGAATGTACAAGTGTGCTTTATACAATTGATGTATGTATGGATTGTGATAAGAGTTGTATGAGCCCCCAATAAAATGATTTTAAAGATACCTTCTAGCTAGACAATGCTAACAAAACTTAAAATATGTTTTACATAAGACAGAGGGAAATAGTCCTAAACGGAAACATACATACAGACAAGCAAAAGGTTATATCATATTAAAAATGCTCCTAATTTTGCAAATGGCAAGAAATGAGAAAGTAAGGTCCTGACGTCTCGGTGGAAAAGAACATGTCTTTCCTTGAATCAAGGTTTAGTAAGTCAAGTACTGTAGACTCTCAGAGTAAAAAAATAAAATAAAATTCACTGCCAATTTAGCAACCCAAAACTCTAGTCCCATAGAGTTTTTAAGAATATAAAGTTTTATAAGGCCAAAAAGCCTCATCTTTCTTCCACACAGCAGTGGGTAGTTTCTCACTGCTGACCTTGTGGTTAGCTGCACAGCACTGAATTCACACCATCAGGGTTCCTTAAAGCAACTTTTCATAAAAAATTCTGAAACTTAGGAATCTGAGTCACAGTATAGGCAAAGAAACCACCAAGCATGCTTTAGCATCAGTCGACTTTATTTTGTTCTATCACAACCAATTTTTTTAGCCATTTCCCAAATTTCTGTTTATTAAATCAAGGTAGATATTTATACAAATTATTGAGGCCCCTATATTCTTTTTGTAGGGACACTGATGGTAGGAAATCCCTTTGCCAAAGTACATGTCTCTGTTTCCAAACACCAACACGCATATATATACACTATTAAGTTCATATTTTAAAAGATTGAATCCTTGGGGAACTCATGCTTGCTTTTCAGTCTCCTCCTCATTGCCTTTTCAAATATGTAAAATTATACATCCTTATCTAAGTCCTGCATTACTGCAGGCTCATATGGCAATTTCTTCTTTAGACAAAATTCATAGGTGGAAACCTATAAACAAAAAGTTCACTATATATAGACTTGGATATTGTGAAGAAAGTTTGCTGGACAGAGCCCTGAGGTGGCTAGCATTACCATCTTAATAGCCTCTGTGGAGTTAAATATGGCTACTTAAGGATTTTGCAGATGTGACCCTGAAGTCCTATCAATGCACTTTTTAATTGTGGAGAACATGTGAAGCCGTGAAGAACTGTGGATAAGTGCTGTGCTCATTTCCAAGTACAGAGAATGTGAAGGCCATGAACTGGTAAGCTGTCTATAAAAAAGATAAATTCTTGACTAAGTCTCTCCTTAGGAAGGAGCGAAAATGGAGGAAGACCAGATAATTCTCAGAGATCAATATAAAGGAACGCTTCCAAGAGGGAACAAATAAACTATTGTGGAATATCAGAAAATAAACAGCTGTGGTTTTTCAAAACAGAATGTGATCAATAGTTTCAAAGTCTACAGAATAAATAAAAGTACTTCCTGGATCTATAATACCGTGGCTAAAATTAGTAAGAACAAATTCTCCTTTGAGTCAACTGAGCAATTAATAATGGGCAAAAGAAAGTAAAAATTATTGCTTCTTGGGTAGAAGCTGTTTTTTAAATGATGAGCAGAGTATGTTGAGGGAATATTCTGGGGAATGTAAGACTGTCATGGAGGGAAAAGTGAAAGAAGCTTTAATCCCTTTATTTCTTGAAATAAATGTCACAGGAATATGCTCACTCACCATGTAAGAAATGCATATCGAATGCCTACCGTGTTTCCATCACATTCTACAAAACAGTGAACAAAACAGAGAGAAATCCTTGCAAACACTTTTCAGAAGCGAGACCATAAATCGAGCCGTATTCGGAAACTGCTATAAAGCGGTGACACCACTGTGGAGACGGCATGTTGATTGAAATGGGGTTGATGGGAATCCTACTGCCTTTGAGAATCAGGAGCTGGGCCATTTTAATTTCCTTTTTAATTCTGCCACACATATCTTTTTTCTTTGGCAATTATTCCTTGTAGTGTTCTAGCCCGTTTCTTAACTGCACAAGTATTTTGCTGAGAATCGGCTTCACTGTAGGACCTGGAAGGAGCTCTGGTGCGGCAGTGCTCCCCCGAAGTTGAACAGTTTGAACTCACCACACTCTCCTGGAAGACAGGTGTGGCAGTCAGCTTCTCTAAGATAATGGGCTTGGAGACCCTGTGCGGCAGTTCTATTTTGTCCTATTCAGAATCTACTAGATGTCATTGGGATCCCTATGAGACTTTTTACATAGTTCATTCATTCTGTATGTGAACCCTGGTGGTGTAGTGATTTAACGTTGGGATGCTAACCACGAGGTTGGGTGGTTCAGGGCCCGGCAGCCACAGAGGTGGAATGACAAGGCCGACTTCTCCTATAAAGATTTAAAGCCACAGAAACCTGGAGGTTTTTACTCACATAACATATAATGACATATAATAAGTACTACTTTTACATAGTACATATAAAGGTGGACACACATAAAAATGAAAATAAGAACCATGCAAAAATACTTGCTTTCAAAGAGTTCTTTTTGATGAGGAAAGTACACAAAACACAATATACAGTATATGTCAGATGCAAATACATGCAATGTAAAAGCTAGAAAGTACAATTTAAAATGCGAGCAGGAAACCATTTGCAAATTTGACATTTGAGCTAAAACTGATGGAGATAAAAATCGTCCTTAGCACCGGTGCCTCTCTCACTGCCTTTCAGTGGATTCGGACCCAGAGGGAACTATCGGGCAGGACAACTGCCCCTTTAGGTTTTTGAGCCTTTGCAGGAACAGACAGCCTTATCCTCGCCAGAGGAGGGACTGGTGGCTGTCAGGGGCTGGTCTTGTGGTTAGCAGCTCAGAGCATAAGCCACTGCTCACCAGGAGTGGTATTGCTAAAGAAAGAAAATAATGTTGATGATAAGGATATCATTTGCACCCCTCTTCAAATACCTGGCATATCTTTCAGGCAACTTTCCCATAGTATCAGCTGAGAAATACAAGTCACAACTGAATCTTTTACTTAACTCTGTATGGTACGACATGAAAATTACAACTGCACCTTCCTGCTTTCCATTGATAAAAACCAGAGTACCCAAAGACGTGATTTTCTGTTACGTTTCTTTCTACTTGCAGCAGAGGCAAGGCCCACAGTTTCATGCCTTGGACACAGCAGCGTCTGCGCTCATGCGGGTGAGCCCACTATCTGGCGCACAGGGTAGAAGTCCCCAGATGCGCAAGCTCAAGTGCTTTAGAATCAGCCATGTTGAAGTGCTGCTGAGCAGAGAGGAGGAGGAGGAGGAATGGCCTGGCGAGCTGTGAGACCCCACCAGAATGGAGCCACGGCCACGCAGAGGAGAGAGAGCAGGAAGAATGTCAGGAGCAGCTAACGGAGTGATGATGGAATTATTTTTCCAAGTCTCTTCCACCCATTGAAGAAAATCACACAGAAATGAATGCTCACAGGCAGGCCCAGCCTAGATAGCAAGACATCAGTTTGTCTGCCCCTCTCCCGCTCGGCTCCAGGCACCAGTGCCAAGGCTGGGCCAAACTATTGCACTGTCTGCCCTGACCCATGGAGCTTTAAAATACGAAAGATTCATTTCAACTTGTTGAATGACCTCTGACCTCCCGGCGCTGACAATGGAAATGGCGATGGTGAACAGAAATGGTTCAGGGGCAGCCAGGGTACAGGGCCGTCCCGCCATAGCTTCCATTTCTGGTCGTTAGCCTATCTGGTGAATGAGCATTCCGGGTCAAGGTAAAAATCCCAGGGTAGGAAGTGCCCGGGCCTTTTCCGAAGCAGTTGGAAGGCCAGTAAGTCTGCATGTGGATGGGAAGATTTTAGGATTTTAGAAGCCGAGGTCAGGCAGCGGTAGTACACTAGATTTTGTGGATCCTTAAAAAAAAAAAACAACATTGGTTTTTATTCTGAGTTAGGTGGAGAAGAGGGCGATGAACTGATTTATATATATTTTTAATTTCCTCATAAACTATTTTGGAAATAAATGAATTCATAGGAATTTCAATGATGGTCAGCTGCTATACCATGTGACTTAGTCTACTATTTCCTCAGATACCAGTGCATTTAAAACTAAATCAAATTGATCTTGTATATTAATATAGGGCAACAACAGGTGTGGGAGATTAGGGGTGTTACTAAGCTATCAGCTAGATACTATTTAGAAGAAACCAGTTAAAAGATAAGTAGAGAGAACAACGGAACAATGAGATTCCTCAAAGTGATAAGCAGCCCATCGCAAGGGAGAAGAACATTCCTGAGTGAAAAAACAATGATTTTCTTGTATTCACATTTTTCTTGTGTTACGAGGGAAAAAATGTTTGGTGCAGATTTAGGCACGTGTAGGTTTGACTGAGCGCCCTGGTGGTTCATTGATAGACCTCACGTGTCATCCAGGAGACCAGGGTTTGATTCTTGACTGATGTACCTCATATACAGCCACCACCTCGCTGGCCGTAAGATTTATGTATTGCTATGATACTGAACAGGTTTCTGCTTGGCTTTCAGACAGATGCAGATCGGTGATCTCTGTCTGAAAATTATTTAATCAAAACCCTATGGAGTACAAGGGTCTGCTCCAATTGCGCATAAGGCCCCCATGATGGCTAACAACAACAAATTTATTCAGTAGACACTAAGGAAGACTTTTTTAATATAGTTAAGTGAAATATATGGCTTAGATTTCATCTGAACTCACCCTTGTGTAAGCAAAAAAAACACTTATATACTTTGCTAGAAATTTCAGATTTTATCTTTCTATAGAATTGAATCCAATTATGTATTTAAAATAATATATAATTTAGACACATATAGCTAATATTTTTTGTTGTGCTTTATCATATTGATAAAAGATTCCATACTTTTTTTTCCCCACTAGAACAATGTCTACCTATTTCAGTGTTTCCAACAGTTCTCAAGGACATGTTTTACAGTTTCTCCTGATGGGATTTCCAGGAATTCATAGATGGCAGCACTGGCTTTCTCTGCCCCTGGCAATGTTTTATTTCTTAGCACTTGGTGCCAACCTCTTCATTCTTTTTACCATCTATCAAATGACTACTGTGCAGCCTATGTACCATTTCCTGGGTATCTTGGCTGTGACAGATATGGGCTTGGCCACCACCATCATGCCTAAGATCCTGTCCATTTTTTGGTTTGATAACAAGTCCATCAGCCTTCCTGAATGCTTCCTTCAAATTTATGCCATCCACTGTTTTCTGGGCATGGAGTCAGGTATCTTTCTGTGCATGGCTGTGGATAGATATGTGGCCATTTGCCACCCGCTGAGATACCCGTCTGTCATCACCAAAGCCTTCATAATCAAAGCTACCATGTTCATGGTGCTCAGGAACGGCCTCTTGGTAGTCCCAGTTCCTGTGTTGGCATCCCAGAGAAATTATTGTTCTAGGAATGAGATTGAACACTGTCTGTGTTCTAATCAGGGGGTCACCAGACTGGCCTGTGATGACACAAGTCCCAACAGGGCCTGCCAATTGGTTCTGGCCTGGGTTGGCTTGGGCAGTGACCTGGGTATGATTCTTTTGTCATACACCTTTATCTTAAGATCTGTTCTAAAACTGAACTCTAAAGAGGCATCATCTAAAGCCCTGAGCACATGTTCTTCCCATCTTATTCTCATTTTCTTTTTCTACACAGCTATTGTTGTAGTGTCTGTCACACACCTGGCTGAGACAAGGGTGCCTCTTATACCTGTACTTCTTAATGTGTTACATAATATCATCCCACCAGCCCTTAATCCCATAGTATATGCACTCAGAACTCAGGAGCTCAGAGTTGGTTTTTTGAAGCTTCTAAGATGCGCTGGAAAGAGAAAATGATATTATCATTTTGTAAATTATCCCCACCATCTCTAGTGGGCAGCAAAATTTGTGTATGCTAATATGAAACTGTATTCAAAACTATGACATTCACCAATTAAGGCATAGAATAAGAAATGAAGTAAATTAATTTCAATTCCATTCAATGAACTACATACTTGGTAGCAGTTCATCAAAATGATTCACTCTAACTTAGGCTTTATGTAACAGCTTATTGGGATTTGTGTCTTGAAGCTTAATTTGGTTGCAGATTCCTTAGAATTTTGACTAAAAGATTACTGAATTTTATCCTATGTTTAAAGTAATCAATTTTATTTGATTATGGGACTATCTACTGAAATTGATATTTTTATAGATTTTCAAAGTTGGGTACAATATGAGTTTGATTAAATTAAATTGGTCACAGAGACCAATTGTTTGGGATAATTTTATAATAAATAGAAAAACCTTGTAAGAAGGCCCTGTAGTGGGGCTATACAAATGAGATTTGTAAGAAATAAATGTTAATTAAGATTGTAGAGCACATCTATACATTTGTTGCCCTCATCATTCCCAAAATTCGCTTGCCTCTTGGGTTCCCGGAATCAGCTCATTTTCCTTTTTCCCCCTCTCCCCCTCCCTTATTCTGCCCCCCTCCCCCATGCACCCTTGATAATTTATAAATTATTATTATATCTTATATTACACTGCCCGGCATCTCCATTCACCTACCCCTCTGTTGCCCATCCCCCAGAGAGGAGGAGGTTATATGTAGCTCTCTGTGATCAATTCCCCCTTTCTACACCCCCCTTCCCTCCTGGTATCGCCACTGTCACCCCTGATCCTGAGGGGTTCATCTGTCATAGATTCCCTGCGTTTCCAATTCCCATCTGTGCCGCTGTGCATCATTTGGTCTAGCCAGGTCTGCAAAGCAGAATTGGGGTCCTGGTAGTTGGGGGGAGGAAGCGTTTAAGAACTAGAGGAAGGTTGTGGGTTTCATTATTGTTATACTGAACCCTAAGTGACTCATCTCCCCACTACCCCTCTGCAAGGTATGTCCAGTTGTCTAGAGATGGGCATTGGGTCCCTATCACGCACCACCCTCATTGATGAGGATATGATTTTTCTCTCCGCCTTTGGTGTTTGACCCTTTGGCCCTTCATGATCACACATGTTGGTGTGCTGCTTCCATGTGGGCTTTGTTGCTTCTGGGCTAGATGGCCGCTTGTTTACTTTCAAGCCTTTAAGTCCCCAGACGCTATAGGTCTCAATAGCCGGGCACCATCAGCCTTCTTCACCACACTTACTTATGCACACATTCATCTTCAGCGTTTATGTGGGGTAGGTGGTCACACAATGATGTTTCACAATGTTAGATAACCCAAACCATTAATAATATTATTTTAATATATGTATATAACTAATGATTGTAATAGGTAATGTATGTACAGAATATCTGTAAAGGTTGAACCTAGAAATTAAAGATGTGAACCATTATCAATAAAAATTATTAAAAATATTAATAAAAAGAAAAAGGAAATTGTAAAAAAAAAAGATTGTAAAAAAAAAGTGAACTTTATAATCAGACGCTAAAGAAGAGTGATTGTTTGGAGTAAAATACTGATCAAGATTTTGGTCTTGGTGACTGGTTCTCTGTTCCCAAAGAAATTTCATATCAGAGGGCTTCATGCAAAAAAAAATCCATCAAATTAAAATTTTAATAACTCTCTAAAATCAAAATAAATATTGTTGTTGTTGGGTGACATGCAATAGATTTCAACTCATAATGACCATGTGTGCAACAGAATTCAACCCTGCCTCGTCCTGCACCATCTTCACAATTGCTATGTTGAGTCTAGAGGGTTTGCTTTTTCTTCTGCTGTACTTCTCCTGTGCCAGGCATGCTATCCTCTTTCTGGGGCTGGTCCTCCTGATAACATGTCCAAAATCCCATCAGATATTAGTTAATGCATGATCACATTCTACTCCCTCACAAATATATGATCGTAAAGAGAAAATGGAACTCTGAGGTTTGCCAAAGATTAAACGGAGGCATAAAGGGCACATAGACAATTATTTCTGGACACTGGATAATGACCTGTAGAAAACTAGAGGATTAGATATTTGAAAGGTTTGGAAACTAATGCTATTTCTTTATGCTTGTTATTTAGCCTTTATCGTGGTCTTTTGTGTGGAAAAGTTTTATTTTTTCCCCTCTTAGATGTTTCAGTGGAATCAAGGATTATCACAAGTAAAGGTTTCCTTTGTTCTGGGTTCTGTTTAAGGCCTTAAAACTAAGTGTAGGTGGGAGAAGTGTAAGGTGTAGAGGATGGGGACACGTTTACACATAGGAAATCTATTAGGATTTAGCTATTCCAGGTTTCCCAGTCATTGAAATCTGGTCGTCGTGACAGATGACTGGACACAGAGACCTTGGGGAAAATGGATGTTGGTTATCACTCACTGGCTGCCATCGAGTCGATTTTGACTCAGTGTGTCCCGACAGAACAGGGTAGAACTGCCCTTGTGGGTTTCTAAGACTTTCTCTCCTGGAGGGGGTGGGGTTTCTAACTGCTGACATTGCAGTTCCCAGCCCAATCCTTAAACACTGTGCTACCAGGGCTCAATAATGGTTCTAAAGAATTCGAAATCAAGACACCATATCAGATGGCTAGTGGATCAATGCAATCATATCTGGGTGCAGCATTATTCTTCACTGTTAGTGGGTTGCATATTGTACCAGTAATAGTAGGTGTATCAACCATGCTGAATTTCATGATACTTCGTCCACATCATTATCCCTGCAATCATGACTTCTTTGTCCATGGTCAACCACCCAAGAAACAAAGCAGCAAAAGAGAATGTGACTTCATTCACTGGATATAATAATAACCTGTCAGTTTGGTTGATAACAGCCTCTAGGGCAGATACTATGCAATGAGTACCACACTGAGACATCATGTATGAGAGTATGTCTGAATGGTTTTTACGAAATGAGAAGATTCATCTGTATGTCTCTTATCATGACTTCCTTATTTTCTAGTTGTCTTCTCTCCCAGACGAGATAATTGTCACAATTGAATGTTTACCTCGGTCACCTCTTTCCAAATTAAGTTCATGCACAATTAGATTGTTCTTCATTTTGTACTTTGTTTCTATTCTTCACTATACCCAGCATGGGCATAATGAAGTGTTCATTTATTTCTGACTTACACAAACATATCACATGAATCTTATGATCAACCTGGCTCAACTAATTCACTCCTCTGTTGGTTTGTTTGAGGAAACATCTTCTAAGGTAACAGATGGAGGTCAAAAGAGAGCTTTTCAGTGCAACAGCAACACATTATATGAGAGTTCAAGTCATGAAAGTTTTATAAATTGTGTCTTACTATCTGTTTGAGCTAAGTAATGGGTATTCCATGGTCATTTAAAAATCCACAGCTACGTATGCTGAACTTCTTCATGACTGGGTGGATGTGATCAAACTCAACTCACCATTGGCATCTGGCCTTTGCATTCTTTTTGCTGTTCTCGAGGGGCACTGATGGCACAGTGGTTGCTAACCAATGGTCCTGACAGGTTGGCCATTCAAACTCACCAATCACTGCATAAAACCAAAGGTGGCAGTCTGCTTCCATAAAGATTTACAGCCTTGGAAACCCTAGAGGTTTAGAGTTCCACCCTGTTTGATAAGGTCACTGTGAGTCAAATTTGACTTACCAGCAATGTATTTGTTTGGTTTTACTGTTATAATGATCAGAAGCTTAAGCTCTAAAAGTATCCAGTTGTCCATTTAACCAATTATTAAATTAAGGTGCCTTTGTGTTTTAATCTTAAAGTGATAATTGTGCCCACTTTTAAAAGTTTCTGTATGTTGATTTGCATTGTATGGATACTCCCAAGAAATTCCCTTCACTGCAGTATCTGCTTTTATGAATTTGGAGTATAATCCTTAGAACATTAAGAGTTGTATCTAGTTAATGCATAAATGTGAAAAGTCAGTCAAGAATTGTGTGTGGAGTGTATGTGGCTCCTTTATTTGTTTCTAATGACATCTTTCCCTAGTTTTTGCTCATTCAAATGTGATGTAGGCCATATTGCTCTGGAGGATGTGGATTTCCATCACTCAAATCAGCTTGGGCTTCTTTTCATTGACAATTGCAGTCAGTACAGTGATTATAAGACCAAAATAAAAGTACCGAATGTGCTGCTTTTGCAGCAATTCTGATTCATGGTGACACCATGTGTTCTGAAGTGGAACTACTCCACAGACTTTTCTTGGCTATAATGTTTGCAGAAGCAGTTCCTTAGGCCGTTTCCCCACAGGGCCACTGACTGTATGAATTGCCAACCTGTAGGCTGTAAACCAGACCTTGGAATATTCAGAAATTTGCTGTGAGCTAATAATTCTGTTTTGTGATTCTCCTAGTAAATATTTAAGCCCTATACTTGCACCAAGTGGGAAGTTATTTACATCCTAAACATATACTTAAAGTAACTTGGGAATTACCTGAAAAAGAAATATTTCCAAGGGCTCAATTGAAAGTAAATGTCTAGAAAAGAATGATGGCAACATGTGTATAAATATATCTGATACAACTGGTGTATCGATTGTGATAAGAGTTGTAAGAGTCCCCAATAAAATGATCTTTTAATTAAAAACTAAAAATAAATAAATAAAAAGAAAAAAGGAAAAAAAAAGAAATCTTTGGTTTTCCAAAATTGTTTCCTGTTTGTTTCCTAGAAATTCCTATTACATCCATGGTTTAGAATTCTAACAACTCAATGACTTCCCTTACACTTCTCTAAGACATAGGGTATTAATATGGTAACATGTTTTAGACCAGACGCTGCCCCAAATCTAACTATATAGTTGGAAGCGAGCATGCATACACTACTAAACTTACTCTCCATGTTAGGTGACTTCCTAAATTTGTGTCCTTTAAGATATTCCTAAATCTACCTTGTATAAGACAAACACATTCTGCAAACAGAATAAGTCATCATCTCATCATATC